CCTCCCCGGCGGCGCCGTGCGCAGGCGCAGTGCGCGCCGCCTGCCCGCCCGGCTGGTGCGTGCGAGAGAGAAGATGGCGGCGGCGGGGGCAGCAGCGTGAGGCGCCTGCGAGACGCCGAGCTCCCCAGCGAAGCGGGGCGCCATGGCCGTGAACAGCGCGCAGGTAGGGGCGGCCGCCGCGCTGACCGCCCGCGGGGCACGCGGGGCCCTTTCCGCGGCTCGGTGAAGCGGCCGGGCCCCGCGGCGCCGCTCGCCGGAGGGGGGAGCGTGGTGGCCGGGACTAGGCCCCGGGCGATTCTGCAGCCTCATGGAGCCGCCGCGGGGCCGGGGGCTGCGGCGCGGCCTGGGGGCGCTGCCGGCCCCGCTGCGGCGCGGGGGGAGGGCCCCGCCGGAGCCCTCCCTGCGAGGGGCCGTCGGTGCTGCCCCCCCACCCGAGCTGTGCAAAAAGAAAAGGGGAGGGGGTTGGGGGCCGCTTGATTTTTTTGTATGTGTGAAGGGTTTTTTGTATCTGTGGAGGGGGAAGAGCGGTAGGAGATACTCTAAAATGGGAAAGAAATAAGGAGATTTGTAAATTAATCCGTYCCCCCCGCCCAAACCCTCCGCAAACGTCGACGCACCCGGGAGCCGCGAGGCGGCGGGGGGAGAGGTGGCTGGGGAGGGGGGTGACCCCTGCGACCCCCCTCCCCAAACCCCCCGCGAGGATTATGCGAGGAATAACAAAACCTGCAGCCGCCCTGGCTGCTCTCCGCAAGTTAAAGGCCTCGTTGCRCGCACCTCGTCTGGGTTGCGCTTACAACAAAGCAACTAGTTGAATGGGTCGAGGGTTATTTTATTTCTTTTTTTTCTCTCTCTTCCCAAATAAACTTTGAAGCAAAATTTCCTGGCAATATAAAGCTGCACTGGGGTGTATAATTGCAGAACTTTGTAGAACTTTCTTTTTAGCGAGTAAAGAGGTTTAGAAAACTTAACGTGTTAAGCTTAAGTTTACTAAAGGGCAATGTAGTTTTTACGTGAATACGTTTATTGAAATTTTAAGTCTTGGTAATACGATGATATGTTATCCCCTATTTTCTACTTTTTTTTTTTCTGAAAATCGACTGAAGTACTCATAGTCAAATTGTACACTTTTGGTGCTGACTGCTTCAAAGCAAAGTTTGCARCTGGTGAAAACTATTGTGACATTTCTTATCAAGAATGATTTTATTTTTTTAAGAGCTCTTGTCTTTTTGTGGTACATGTCCTGAGGACAATTCTAGTCTCTGAGCTTTGTTAAAATTCAATGTATGAGTCTGTGATTTTAAAACTTTGTATGTAGTAAGCTTTTCTTTTGCAATAGAGGAATCCAGTCTCGTTCTAGTGTGTTGCTTGATTGACGGTATGAATGATAACTAGAAAGCAACACATATCAAAGGGGAGTGTGGAAGAGACTGTCCAGCTCAGAAGCTGTT